GACAGCGCGGATTTTGAACGCCGTTGCCTAGCATCCATATGGCGAACCTCCACTCTCTACCCAACAAAACGGACGAACTCCTTCTGCTCTCCCGGATAAACAAGGATTTTTCACATTCTGCTGCTCTGTGTTTCACGAAAATGACGCCATACCGGACAGCACGCTACATCTGCCGGGCTTTCAGCTGTTTAGAGCAGATCGCGACACAGAATCAACGGGGAAATCGCACGGCGGCGGGACATGCTTTTACATCAATGAAAGGTGGTGTACAAATGTAACTGTGTTAAAGATGATGTGCTGTCCCGATCTGGAAGCACTCTTCATTAACTGTAAGCCTTTCTACTCGCCGTGGGAGTTTTGCTCATTCGTTCTCGTGAATGTTTACATTCCTCCGCAAGCGCACGTGAGCTCAGCTTTACAGAAACTCACTGATCAGATCACAGAGACAGAACAACAACACTCGGACTCTGTTTTAATCATTCTCGGGGACTTTCATAAAGCAAATCTCTCCCGTGAACTGCCAAAATACAGACAGCATGTTACATGTCCCAACAGAGACAGTAATATACTGGATGCATATCACTCTGTCTCACGGGCAGCTTTGGGGCTCTCTGATCACTGCTTGGTTCATCTTATACCGACCTACAGGCAGAAACTGAAATCAGCTAAACCTGTATTAAGGACTGTAAAAAGATGGACTAATGAAGCAGAGCAGGATTTACAAGCTTGTTTTGACCTCACTGATTGGAGTGTTTTTGAAGCTGCTGCCACCCATCTGGACGAGCTCACAGATTTGTTAACATCTTATATCAGTTTCTGTGAAGATATGTGCTTTCCTACCAGGACTCATTTAATCTACAACAATGACAAACCATAGTTCACTGCAAAACTCAGACAGCTCCGTCAGGCCAAAGAAGATGCTCACAGGAAGGGGGATAATGTCTTGTATAAACAGGCTAAATACACACTGGAAAAGGAGATCAGAGTGGCAAAGAGGAATTATTCCGAAAAACTAAGGTCTCAGTTCACTTCCAGCGACTCGGCATCAGTGTGGAAAAGTCTAAAAGAAATCACCAACTACAAGACACCATCCCCCAGCACTGTGGAGAATCAACACCTGGCAGACGATCTGAACGAGTTCTACTGCAGGTTTGAAAAAACACCCCACACCCGCCCTGAACACCTCTCCACACAACCATTCACACCTCCAGCAAACCCCCTCTCCCCCACACCTGCAATTCAGATCAGTGAAGACGAGGTGCGCCAGGTCTTCCGGAAGCAGAAAAGGAAAAAAGCACCAGGCCCAGACTGTGCTACAACAATGACAAACCATAGTTCACTGCAAAACTCAGACAGCTCCGTCAGGCCAAAGAAGATGCTCGCAGGAATGGGGGCCGAGTCTTGTATAAACAGGCCAAATACACACTGGAAAAGGAGATTAGAGTGGCAAAGAGGAATTATTCTGAAAAGTTAAGGATTCAGTTCTGTAGAAAGTCGGAAAGTCGTGGCCTAATGGTTAGAGAGTCAGACTCGTAACCCAAAGGTTGCGGGTTCGAGTCTCGTATCGGCAGGGATTGTAGGTGAAAGACATCACCAACTACAAGACACCATCCCCCAGCACTGTGGAGAATCAACAACTGGCAGACGATCTGAATGAGATTTACTGCAGGTTTGAAAAAACACCCCACACCCGCCCTGAACACCTCTCCACACAACCATTAACAACCCCTCTCCCCCACTCCTGCACCTCAGATCAGCAAAGATGATGTGCGCCAGGTCTTCCAGAAGCAAAAGAGAAAGAAAGCACCAGGCCTTTCGAAAGGTCTTTTGAAAACCTGTGCTGCCTTTAACACTATCATCCCAAACCTCCTCCTGTCCAAACTAACTCGGCTCTCTGTGCCCACCTCCATCTGTCAGTGGATTACCAGCTTTCTGACAGATAGGCAGCAGCTAGTAAGGTTGGCAAACTCACATCCAGGACTCTCACTATCAGCACTGGAGCTCCTCAGGGTTGTGTTCTCGCTCCACTGCTCTTCTCCCTCTACACGAACGACTGCACTTCAAGACCCCTCTGTCAAGCTCCTGAAGTTTGCAGATGACACCACTCAACATGGGATTATTCAATGCATGCTGATTAACTTTTATCATAGTTTATAGTTATATGGAAACGAAAGGGGTTAACATTCAACCCGTTCTTTATCATCAGTAGTATTATTTGTGATTTGAATTTTGTGAATGGGAGTTTCTCTTTTGCTGTGTTAAACTGCGGGCTTCGGATGCTTTCACTTTCGAATTCACGATCTTCTTGTCACTGTTTTGGTTCCATACATCTACACAACTTTCATTTTTTAAGACTAAAACAAAAGATGGATTCATTATTATTCTTAATTAAAAAGATACAGCAAAGATAAGTTTTTCAAAAATGAAAACAAAAAGAAAAGTAAAACTAACAGTGACAGTGCTTGCATGTTTTTTCCCCCCCACAAGAATACCAGCATGTTCACCTTCTCTGGTTTAAGAAGCGGTCTTTTACTTGACTCTCGCTTGAAAACCATCCATCATTTCCTCAATATGTGCGTCGTTTTTGCTGCGCGCACCTGCTGACGCGGCAAGTATAAACAATGCTCTACACTCGAAGCGCTGCGCAGTTCAAACAAGCTGCCGTTTGATGTTTCTAATATGCAACAGAAATTGCAGCGCTTATGAGTTGAACAACGCGGTGGTCGTGCCAGTGCGACCGCTCACAAAATTTAGTCGCACAGGCAGAAAAAATGGTCGCAGTCTGGAGCCCTGACACTTGACAATAAACGTGGAACACACAACACTATTTATACACTTATTTATCTAACACACATACTTGGTTTACATTTCGAACTTGCACATAATATACCTGTACATACAATTGTCAGTTTGTATATTGTTATTCCCTATTTACTTTATTTTTATACCCGATTTTTTTAATTATCTGTGTTTTTGTCCTGTCACTGTCATTCTGTTGCACTGTGGAAGCTTCTGTCACGAAAACAAATTCCTCGTATGCGTAAACATACCTGGCAATAAAGCTCATTCTGATTCTGATTAACTTAACTGCATGATTTTTACTGTACATTTCTGCCATATGGACATCACCTTGACATAATCACCACTGATAATCTACTCCTAAATATAATGTAGAAATTTTAATTTTCTGTGAAGCTGCTTTGCAACGATTTGTATCATGAAAACCGCTATACAAATAAACGTGAATTGAATTGAATATTGGGTTTAACGTTACACAGAGTAATTGTTTTGGCAATGTATTTATCGTTTTTCATCATTTAATTTGTCACGTGTTGCATGCCGTAAATAAAGAGATTCATTAAGCAGAATACCCGAAGAAAGACCGAGTATGAAACCAACCTGTTTGTTCCTCAGTATCTTCATTTTTGACTGAATGCTTCTTCAATCTTCATGTCTTCACTTTCCTTTTTAAAGGGGTCCTTGATTATGTTTTCACTTTTTTAACTTTAGTTAGTGTGTAATGTTGCTGCTTGAGCATAAACAACATCTGCATAGTTACGACGCTTAAAGTTCAATGCAAAGGAAGATAATGGGCCTCATTTATCAATCTATTGTAGAAACGAGCGCAGATCCGAGAGCACAAATCAACTTATGACAGAGTTCACATGTGATTCATGAAACATTTGTATGCCGCCAATCTCATCGTATGAAAGATCATACATTGATAAATGTGGAAACAATCATCATCTGAATATCACGCCCCTAAAAACACCCCAGTTTAGAAGCCTTGCCCTAGAGTTTACGACACGGAGAAACAAAGCCCGGCCAAAAAGAGGAAGTAATCTCATGAAAGAGAAATTGATCTTACTCTAAAAACACCCTTTAACCTTATAATTTCAAACAATGGCATTAATTATATGTATATTAAATACCAGTAAATATAACGGAACATTTACAAAACTTTATAAACACTATATAGCCTATTTAGTTATCCTTAATCCACAAAAAAAACTTTAAATTTAACGGTATTACAGAATAAGTATGAAAAATTAGTAGCTATAAAATTTTATATTAAACTTTAAAGTAAAACACAAATTAGGCTATAGTGGCATTCATTATAAACAGAATATAAACATCAAGCTAAAATGAATTTATTAAAGTGAAACTAAATGGCATTGGGCTCACAAGCCTCTCTCGTTCAACATCCAAATGTTTCCATTTTTATGCCATGTAACATTTGGTTGCTAAACTATTAATTAATGTGGTTTGAGGCTTTATTAACACCTACCCCAACCCTAAACCTAACCTTACAATATTAAAAATACAGTGTTGGTAGCATGATCTGATAGGTAGTATTATTTGTTAGAACACCGGATTCGCCCAAAAGCTTGTCCTGAAAGATGGAGAAGTTCCCACTTTAAAAGCAGAAGCTGTTGTTTATGGGCCACAACCTGTAAGTATGTTTTATTCTTTGTTGATGTGTTTTCCATTAACGGTATCTTTCGTTATTTTTATGTTGTAGCAAGGACGTAAACAAAGGTCAATGCCGTTTGGCTCCAGTAGTCAGTTAGCTAAATGCTAATTCACACTCATCCGGCTACAACCTTCTGTTTAATCTCACCAGCAAACTTCGAATATTAGTGTTTGTTGGCGACTAAAGCTTTAATAAGGATAAAACCGTATTTCAAAAGCTAACACAAACAGCAGTAGAATTTACAAATCACAGCGTATCTAAAAAGTACGAAACAGCAACAAACAAAAAAAGTCATCCCATTCTGAAAAGTCCTGTAAGAGTCGTGCTTGCATAGGTTCTGCTCAAACCTCTTCAATAATATTCTCTAGGTCTGATTCGGGCTCAAATTGATAAGGCAATATTGACGCCATTGACGTGCAACTACCCGGAATGACATGTCTTTCATTTAGTCATGAGGCAAATAACAGAGATAAAGATATTCATGACGCAGAATGACCGAAGAAAGACTTTGAGAATGAAAACCAACCTGTTTGTTCCTCAGTATCTTCATGCTTGACTCTGAATGCTTCTTCAATCCTCATGTTTTCACTCTCCTTTTTAATAAACGCCATCTTTGTTTGTGTCTCAGTATCTTCATGCTTGACTCTGAAAGCTTCTTCAATCCTCATGTCTTCACTCTCCTCTTTAATAAACGCCATCTTTATAACAGTTTTTCCTGTGTGTTTAAGATTAGAATAATTAACAGACAGAAAAATAAAGCCAAACTAAATCACTGTGTGTGTCTCAATCAGCTCCCTAAAACACAGGTCTTGGAGAGCCGCAGCCCTGCAGAGTTTTGGTTTAACCCTAATCAAACACACCTGAACGAGCTAATCCAGGTCTGAAGGGTTACCTGGAAGCTACAGGCAGGTGAGTTTTTATTAGGGTTGGAGCTGACCAGGACCGGAGTTTGCCACCCCTGGATTACACTTTCATGAAAACAGTCAGCTGATTTGTAGAAGTTGTCATTACACACAGGGGCAGATCTAGAAAATTATTTATAGGGTGGCATGAGGTCTATGAGGGGTGGCAACACCAAAGCAAGTGCCCATGCATAGTTTTTGGGAATTTATGGCTTGATATACACAGTTTTGTTCACAAATATTGCATTACCACGAAATAATCATCCATACTGTTTAAAATTAAAAATAACAACATTTCAATATCCATGGCACCAAGTCAAGACACTAAAAAAAACATGAAAAACATCAACAGATGCTAAATGTGTCTGAGCATGCATCACTAAAGCAGATGAGCAGATTTATTCATATTAAATGGCTACTTGGTTGGTTTAAATAACGTTTTAGTGCAAGTTTATGAGTTTGAATTTCCTAACATTAGAAAGAAATATATCAAAGCAGTGAGACTGGATCAGTTTTGCAAACAATGTTTGTGTTTCTGTTAACAGAGGTGTGTGATACTCTAGCAGCACCCCAGCAACTGCACAGCAAGAGCCTAGCAACCACCCGGAATCTCCTAGCAACACTTTAGCAACCACCCGGAATCTCCTAGCAACACTTTAACAAACACCCGGAATCTCCTAGCAACACTTTAACAAGCAACACTTTAGCAACCACCCGGAATCTCCTAGCAACAC